GATAGATTGCCCTCGTTCGAACAACAATGAAAGAAGTGCTCCTCAACATGTCCAAGTTGCACCCTATCTCAACCATCTTGATCGAGTAAACACCGTTCCGAGAGGTGTGTTAGTTAGCCAACAGGCTGTTTAGGGTTTAGGGAATGATTGCCTATACTAGTCTTGGCGTTCCTTCTTATTGCTGTAGCAACACATATCCCAAAACCTATTCTAACCACTACGGCCCCTTTTACTAGGTTTTAGGCTTGGGCATTTAGGGATGTTTTGGGTTTAGGGTTTAGGAGTTCAGGGGGGTTTGGGTTTTAGGCTTTGGGGTGTTCAGGCATGTTTAGGATTTAGGGCTTAGGCGCTTAGGGCTTTAGAGAGTAGGGTTTAGTCCCCCAATTAATAAGTATCCAAGTAGCACTGCAGGGCAAGAATCAGAATCTCCTGAACCCTAAACTTTTGAGTCGGTGGGGAGTTTCGCATCACGACTCTTCAAGGAACCCTTAAAAAGGACTGAAAAGGAGCCCTTACAGGCACCCTTAAAGAAAAACCCTAAGCCCTAAACCCTAAACCCAACCTTGAACCCTAAACCCTAAACCCTAAACCCTAAACCCAACCTTGAAAGAAACCCTTTCTGGATTTCCTCTGTCGCCGCCAGCCTTGAGTCGTGCAGAGCTCGTCAACTCCTTGCCTGGTTCTTGTTCAGGGATTTCAACTTCTAAGTCACCCATAATAGGGATCTATAGTAAGCGTAAGTTACCATAGTAGGGGCCTATAGGAAAGTTCAGTTACCATAACAGGGATCTACAGAAAATCTAAGTTAGCATAGTAGGGATCTATTGTCAATAATATGAAGTCTTTACCATGGTAACTTGAATTATATGTCTTTTTAACAGGAGCCCAGTTGCACGCATATCCATCTGACTGGTTGAAGGTGCTCACATGGGGTTTCGTCTTGAAGACACCCCGGGCAAGCAGCTGCTTCGGTTCTGCACGGGAATTGACAAAGTCCACCCCCGTGAAGTCCAGCGATGATCCCTTCTGCAGTGCATTGGATATGAGGTTTTCCTGGACTTTGAAGTAACCAGGGAGAAAAAAGGTATAAACTTTTATTTCATATTGGTTCCTTTAAGGAACAGGTCCAAAAAAACAGTATTCAAGTATGGTACTCCAGAACCCAGTTTCATCCAAGATCAGACCTTGATTGCGAGCTCGATTGTGCGCGATGCTGAAGAACATGGGGAGCTCAGGTACGTCGATTGTGTCAAAGCGGTTGTCTGACAGATCCAGGTACATCCAAGCAGGCTCGAGGGGACCGAACCCGCCCGACACGGCTCCGTGGAGGCCACAGTTCGCCGCAACTATGGTTCTAAGACTCGGGAAAAACTTAAGCGTCGTGCGGAAGTGCGACATATCGGTATTCAATGGGCAGCCAGAGACCTTGTCAGGCAAACGGTTGACACCCCGACAAAAATACCTTGTGGCACTCTGAACTCACGCATTTTATGACAAACGAGCAGCTAACGAGCACCCTAAATCCCTTACCCACCTGCAGGGTCCTCAACGAAGGCAAGATGAACCTCGCGCCCTTGTCATCATCTAGTACTCTTCTGAGGAAGTTGAGCTCAGACGAATCATCGATGCCAAGCAGGAACTCTGAGCGTGTTGCCTCGTTCTGCCACACGAACCCAGGAACCATTAATTACTCAAGACTCATGCTGCACTGCTACACAGTACTGAGAGCAATGCCGTCAAGTCCAGGATCGGTAGGCGCCGCAGGTGGTACCCCCAACGTTCTGTGGATAAGTGGCCATGTACACTGGTGAAACCGAGCCTGATCTCCGTCAAATCGTCCAAGCCGGTCAGGCTGCTGATGTCACCAATGATGTCCGAATTCCCTGAAAGGTCAAGCTTAGTCAGCTTTGGCATCACCTCAAGGGATGGCAACTCTCAGCAACATGCTGGCACTACTACTACGATGCTACTACCGATGCTGCTGCTGCTGCTGCTGCTGCTGCTGCTGCTGCTGCTCCTGCTCCTGCTCCTACTCCTGCTCCTACTCCTGCTCCTCCTACGACTATGACGACGACGACGACTACTACTACGACTACTACGACAACTACGACTACTGCGACTACGACGACGACGACGACGACTACTACTACTACTACTAAGTTACTACGACGACGACGACTACGACGACGACGACGACTACTACTACTACTGCTACTGCTACTGCTACCGCTACTGCTTTGGCAGTTTAATCCGCTACCACTACCACTGCCACTACCGCCACCGCTACAACCACCGCCACCACCATCACCACCACCAGTCGCAGTGGCAGTCGCACTAGCGGTAGCACCGGCACCAGCTCCAGCGCTAACACTACCACTACTTCCACTACTACTTCTCCTGCTGCTGCTACCACCAGCGCAATGCATCTGCCTAGGCTCTACGAAGCTTCGGTGTCAATGCTTCTTCACCTTCGTGTGTTGAGGGGGAAACAGCGGCATTTTGGAGGTACACTCGTGTGGCCTCCCTCTAGGCTACATGCTAAACTCGATCCTAAATGCTAAACTAGACCCTAAGCCTTATACGTCTCACTACCGTTCATGGAAGCCCTCATGGTAGCCGTCATAGTAGCCGTAACCACTATGAAACTATGTGAACCCCTGAAAAAAAAAACATAACACCCCTTGACAAACACTGTAATAAGCACCTTACGAAATGCCCTTCTAAAGCCCTAGTGGCGGAAAGTTCACCCCAGGTCAGAGCTAGAAACCCTAAAGCCTAAAGGCAGCCTGCAGGGAGTCGATGCTACCGGATAGACGGGCCCCAAAAGCATTCAGGTACTTCAATCTCGTCATGCGCTTCCTGGGGTATAAATGTCTGTCGATTTTTTTGGGGGGAACGGGGTGGGAGGGGTTGGGGGATGCGGGAGGTTGGCTTACAGGTTTGAGGGGCCTCGGGAACGGGATTTCGCCTGGTCTTCCCGTGGCCTGTTGTAGGACTTAGCCGTTGGGGATAACTTGGAATAGGAGTTCGGTGCATATCATACAATGTAAGCGTATTAGGGACGATGAGGGATTACCATTACTAGCCACTCCCACCCCTATATTGGGTGCCAAAACATCGAGCAAGCAACGGCATGTTCGTGAGGTTAGGGTTTATAGGGTTCAATGGAGATCTTACGAGAACCCTCTTGGCCAAGCTTCAAGTGAGAAAGGTCCCCACTCACATTGGTCCCAGACATTGTCAGCATGATCATCTTGGATAGATTATGCAGGGATGCCAAGTTTCCATCTACCTGGGCGCGTGCCAATATTTGGTGGCGAAGTACACAAACCCTGGCGCTCAACCAAAACCTTGAACAAGAAAACCCCGACCCTAAACCACCCCACACCCTGCACCTGAAAGCGGTTTGTCGTGTTACTAAAGTCTAAGTATAATAGAGAGCTCTAAGGACGAACTTTGGCCTTATTTCAGGCTTATCTACATATAACAATGAACCAGACTAACTAATAAAACTGACTGGTAATTAAAAATGACCAACAATTAATTAATGTAATAGTTACATTATTCATGAAACTTCATAGAACTTGCCGAGTCACCTTGGTATGCTGGATTTGCAAATACCGCAAGTTGCGCATGCCCTTGATGGCCGAGAGAGTGCCGGTGACCATGCTATTCTGGACGAACAGATGGATCATGTTGGAGAGGTGTCGCAGACACCAGAGATTGCCGGATACCTGGGTATCCTGTATCACAAGCATACTCAACTTCGTCATCTTTGCCAGATTCTCCAGACTGCCCCCAACGGCAAGGTTGCCAAGATGCAGTTTCCTCCGCCCCAAACCCTAAACCGTTTACTCTAAATCGCAGATTAAACCCCCGACATGGACACCCTAAACAGTGCCCCCAAAACCCTGACCAGCAAACCCTGACTCCCCGGATCTAAACCGTGCACCCAAAAATTAAACTCGTAAACCCGAAACCCTAAACAACAAACCCCGACCCGTGTCCCGAGACTTGTCAGGTTCTGCAGACTTCGGAGATCACCGGTAATGTTGGTATCCTTCAGGGTTCAGGGTTGAGGCTTTAGAGTTTAGGGTTACTGTAGGGATTAGCGTTTTCTGGGCTTCGACTTGGTTACCTGCTTGTGTACCTTTTCACCGAGATAGATTTATTCTGGGGCGTGTAGGCTTTCTGGAGCAGTTGGGGTTTAGCGTTAAACGCACTGACAAACCCTAAACCCTCAACCCGCTTTGCGCGTATCGGAATAAACCGGCTCACTGGTGTCTGAGACAGTGGCCTGCAGATTCAAAAATTGCAGCTGCCCCAAGTCAGCAAAGGACGCCAGATCTCCACTGAGATGTTCGCTCCCATACAGTTTTATGCTTCGCCTGAGACTTCGGGTGTTCGTGTTTAAGGACTGATGATCCTACATAGTGACTTCAAGAAGCATAAATGCAAATTGCTCACATTTGCTGGCAGGCGTGGGTCAAAAGCACATTCGAATAATATGCTGCTTGCGAAAGCCCACGCGGCCTTTTGCATATGTGTGACCACTTAGGGCGTATGGTTACGGGTTAAGGAACTCTGCATTGGGGCGGCTTAAAAGTCGTGGCAAACCCTCAGCCGTGCTGTGCCCCTTAGCCAAAGTAGGCACGAGCAGTCGGGATGCGCCAGTTTTTGCGGGTAACATCAAACAAAACGACAACGCTTTTGGGACGAGAGCTGGTAGTGCCAACGCTACTGCAACTGCTTGTTGGTAAGCAATGCTCCCGAAAAACCAGTAACATTACCTTCTCTAATTGAACGAACCAGAAGTAAAAGTAAGCCTACACAAAACGATAGGCGCTGTAGCCACTGTAGCCCCACCTAGATGTGCAGCACAGCTGCACAGAGTTCACTGGAACCGGCCCCAGATGCCCGCGCAAACCATAGGAGACAGGAGAGTCCCTGTTCTCGAAGTTCGATGATGATGCCATGTTGATTGATTCCACAAAACACCTGGATACGAGTCATCCCAACAGGGTCCTTGTAAGTGCACTTTAAGAGGGTCTTTATGGAAGGGCTCCTTCGACTGATTCCAGGTTCAGGGTGCTTAGAGCTTTGGGTTTAAGGTTTCGGGCTGTAGAGTTTCGGGTTGAATTATAGGGGCTACAGAGGTTTAGGTTAGGATTGGGGACGTGGGCTGGGCATAACTACGCTTACCTACGCAAGCCCGAGCACTGCCTTTGTGTATCTCCTGCTACTAGCAAGTAGTATAGGGTCTAGGGTTTAGGGTATATTGTGCGCATCGCGAAGAAGGTTCCCGTGCGGGCCCCGACCACACCTGCTGCGCAAAGGCCTCTTGAAACATTTGATACCATCCCAAGTGCAGTGGTCGTCGCTCCGGTAAACATACTCCTCGACTGCGTTTGAAGCCACATGGCTTTCTGAGTAGATTTCCCTATCCGCATGAATGAAATCAGCATTATGTCCGATAGGTCCCGATAGGTACAAGAACGAAGCAAAGCCAGTTGTTAACTACTGCCCGGAAACGGAAAACAAAACTCTTAAATCCCATTAAACCAAAAGCAATCAAGAATAGGCTAGATTCCGCAACCCCGAGGTTTCGAAGCCACTCCCTCAGCGCAGAAGTCTCGGAAGTTGAACCTTGGCGTCGAGTCGGGTCGGTCGGGATATCCCAAAACCTTAAAAATTAAAAACATACTAGTATAACAACAAAAATAAAAATAACAGTCATAATAACAAAAAATAACAATAACAGTCGCCAGCGCCTTGAAAGGGCTGAAAGGGCTTAAACTTGAGGTTTACGCATACCCTTGTTCTTCCTCCTCCCAGCAAGGAGACCCCCGCAACCAAGCTAGGTTCCAACACACCCAGGCTCTACCTATAGTCTCCATTGTAGTTCCTTTTTGGGGGTTACCTTTTGGGATCCTTAATATAGAATTGGTTAAACCAAAACAAGGAACTACAATGGAGACTATAGGTATGACCCTGAAGCCCCTAAGGCCGCAATCGTATGCCCTGAGCTCGAACCTTCAGTCAACTTTTTCTAAGCCAAAAACAATACCCCTGAACCCCGAAACCCCGAATCCTAAACCCTAAACCCCTTAACTTCCAACCTCTACACCCCGAAACCCTGAATCCGAGACCCTGAAGTTCTGAAGAGAATGGCCCACAAGCCAAGGTCGAAAAGCATTGCTTCACCTCTACATCTTCAAGAAAGCTCCTGGGCTCCTGTCTTGCAACAAGAGGTGTGGGGCGTTGAGCTGAGCTTGGGGCTTCGCGCTTAGGGTTTAGGGTTTATGGGTTTAAGGTCTAAGGTGTTGGGATGGTTTTAGGGTTCTGCACACGTGGAGGATCTTGGGACTTAGCAGGTAAGCTTACAAGTCCCTCTAGTGGAATCAAATTGTAGGTGTAGCAACCTTATTTGCAACGGTAACCTTACTGACTCAAGTCCCATGGAGGTAAACTGGACTTAACACTCATTCTAACAAGGCAGCCTGGAGAGAAATTTCTAATTAACCCCATAAGCCCAAAACCATTGAGATCTTTCGGAAGTCCTTCTTCGGCTTCTCGTTCGGGTCTAGCCCTAAGGGTTCAAGTACCCCATAATCATCCTACAAACCCTAAACCCTAAACCCGTGCCTCGGCATCCGGAGCAAGCACTGAGCTTCTCCCAGTCCTACCCTTTCTGGCATGTCCAGGTTCATCCCAATCCTTCGGCTGTTGGGAAGGCTTAAGGCTTCGGGCTTAGGGTTTTTGCTCTTTTACACTACGGTTTCGGGCTCAGGGTTCAGGGGTGCAGGGGTGTGCGTTTCGGGTTTTGGGGGTTTCAGTTTAGAGTCAAGCTAAGTGATCTTGCTGATGGCACACCAAGTCAACCCTAAACCGAAATGGGGGCTTCCGAAAATAGGGGACTTTAATGTAGTACCCTAAATAGTAGGGTCCTTATTATAAGGACCCCCACAAAAGGTACCCTACATTTCGGAAAGTCCCAGATGAATGCAGCGTTTGCTATCCCGGGGCTCTGGGTCCAGGAGTCGGGGTCGAGGCTGAAGTTTTGGGGCTTGGCTTTTTGGGCTTTGGGGTTTACCTATAGTCTCCATTGTAGTTCCTTTTTTTGGTTTAACCAATTTTCATATTAAGGATCCTAAAAGGTAACCCCCAAAAAGGAACTACAATGGAGACTATAGGTAGGTTTTGCTTTTTGTTACGGTGTGTTCACGTGTCTTTAGGGGTGTAGGGTTTAGGGTTTAGGGTTACAGGCTCACGGGCAATTAGGGGAAGGCAAAGGCAGGGCTGCAGGAGTAATTAAGTAGGATGGCTGCTGGCTGCAGCTAAAGTCATTCGCAAGCGGGTGGCAACAGCCACAAATATGCGGAGTAGCCTGTCACTCGAGAAGCACACTCGAGCACCCAGAATTCCCTCAAGCTTATCACCAGCCTAAACCACAAGATCGATCAGCAATCTACCCCTCTGAGCCCATGGCAGCGGTACTCACTTGGCCTCTCTCAGCATTGAGCAAGATTGCCTGAAGGCAGTGCGGTAGTGACTTCCGCTCTGGCAGAGACGGGTGGGTGAAGGGCTTTTAGGATTTTGGGAGTTTGGGAAACCATCGCCCTGAACCCGATACCCGAAACCCTTATTCCCAAGTCCTACACCCTGACCCCAAAACCCCTAAACCCCAAACCCTAAACCCCAAAACCCAAAAACCCTTAAATTAAACCCTAAACCCCTAAACCCCTAAACCCTAAACCCCAAAACCCAAAAACCTTAAATTAAACCCTAAACCCCTAAACCCCGAAACCCCTAAAGCCCTAGACCCAAAACCCTAAACATGTCTCTGGAGGGCCTGGGAGTCTATGGGGATGCTGGGTCTTAGGCCTCGGGTCGCAAAAAGGCGCGGCTTCGGGCTTTGTGATTTGGGAATCAGACAGACACCGGTATTTAGGTTGGGGGGATAGGGGTCTAGGGGTTTAGGGTTTAGGGGCTTAGGGTTTAGGGTTCAGGGTTGTTTGCCTATGTGGAATGGGAAGGAGGTGGGTGGTCGTGCAGGCCAGAATTCAAGAGCTGAGCAAACCAATGCTACTGCTACTGCAAACGAAGATGAACTCTCAGGAGTTTTCAAAGCTTTCCACAGGACATGAAGCTTGACGTGGAGGCGTTTTGGCTTTGACGAGACACAGAAATATTGACCGTCGGAATAGTCACAAGAACAAGCTACAACGCACAAGAACGCTATGACTTGTTGTGGGGTGCAATGGCCAGGCTGCATGACCTTCCATAGAGCTTTGATAGTGCTTATAGGGCTTCGGGTTTAGGGTTTTGCGTTTCATGGTGGGGTTCCTTGTTTGAAATCTCCGTGCTCTTCAGATGAGTCTGATGACAGCAACACTCCCGCAGCTGGCGCGGCCTGGAGCTGAAGAACTGCAAGCACGGCCGACAGACACATGGCTCGGAAAGCTGCAGGAAGCTGGCATTCCACAGCTTCGGGGGGCTGGGGAACCCCAGAGTAATATAGGGGTCTTAACAATTAGAATAGGGTTTTGGGGCCCACTATGTGGGCCCCCTATATTACTTCGCACGAGGTCTGCTGAGTCTGTTGCTTTGCTCAGTGGGCGCAAGGTTAAGAGTTGCTACAAGTGAGATCTGCGTGGGCGGCATTGCCACCCCACATGCAGCCCTAAACCCTAAACCCTAAACCATCGATAAGGGCTGCACCAAGTTTTTTTCTGGCTTCGCAAACTACGAGCAGGCTGGGTAGGCCAGATCGGACAGAACGAGATTTGTCGTAGTAGTGACCCTCAAAAAGGTCAATGGAATGTGAA